AACAAATTGAATCCACCTTTGACCGAAGGTAACCACCAAATGTCAGGCCTATCAAAGTTGTTTCTTCTTCTGAAGATCCTGTCATTTTCACTCCAGCCTCCTTGAGGCAAACTGATTGCATTGTATCAACAGCATACCTGTCAATTCATTCCATTAATCAGCTAATGTAACTCATCATACCAGAAGATAAAATAAAAGCCCTGACAGCTGTAACTCACCTCAGGAATTCATGTGCATCTTCTTGTTTCCCATTACCTAGTTGACTTCCAATATTTTGTAGTTGGGATAGTATCCCAATTGGGGACAAAACAGATTTCTCTTCCTTTGCCTTCAAAATTAGATTTTCAAACTCGCAAGTGAAACACCATTCTTTCTTTACACCTAATAGAGAATAATTTACATTTAGAATAATAATAATAAATAAATAAATAACAGAAACCTACTGCATGAAGATTCAAGACAAATAATTGCAATGAGAACTATCATAAAGCTTACATGATTTTGAATGTAGCCCCTGAAGAAAGTAAGCAGTAAGAGGAGGGGTAAATGCCAAGCACTGAAGCACAGCATTGGCATAACAGCTGCAGAAAAGAAATAAAAGAGTGCATTAATGAATTAATCAATTTTGTCAGTTGACAAAGGAGCTTCTATATATAATCCATGTTACTTGAAATCTTGAAAAAACACGAAATTGTAGGAATATGCCAGGAAGCCATGCCTCAATCAGTTTTTTAATGATTGCTCCCATGGAAAGGGGGTTCAATCTTACCTGTTTCCACAATTTTTAAGGCCACATGGTTGAAGTGCCACTTTGTTCCAATTATAAAGTTTGACAAACAACTCATAAGGAAAAAGGCCCTACAAGAACAAAACAAAAATTAAAATAAGCCAAGGCTAAAATATTCCAGTCAACACAAAAAAGAAAGTTATAAGCAAACCTTGTCCTTGTATCTTCCAGCAGCCTCATTCTCAGATGCATTATGATAATGTTTTGGCAATTTGGGAACTCTAAATTGATCAACAACTTTCATCATGGAGGTTTTCAGCCCCTGCCGGCCACTAGAACTTACAACCTGTGGTGCAGTAGCAGAAATTGCATGTACAACACTGACTTTTCCAGATTTCTCACTCGGAACTGACTCCACTTTAACACTAGAAGATGACTGAGCATTGGCACTTGTTGATAAACATTTGGCCTCTTTGGAATTTAGTACATGCAAAGTACGACCAGGGTCATTAAATGCATGGTCAGACTTTTCAGACCTTAAAGATGGAAACCCACCAGTGGATGTATTCCTTGCACTGACCGAAGCCCCTTTAGAACCAGATGATAAATCAATAGAAGAAGAGTAATTTGCTGAAGTTTCAACATCTCTGGGCTTCAAAATATGTGACATAACAGTCTCCAAGTGATAGGACCTTTCACACTTTGAAGAGGAGCTGTGAACTTCTAAATTAATATTTTCTAATGAAGTAGCTGGAAAAGGATCATCTGATATGATACCTTTCACTTTGAAGCATTGTGCAGGTGAAGAAAGAGAAGAGTTTCCAGACATATCAAAACAAGACTGAAAGGATGACTCGGAATGAGATAATGTACTACTACAACTTCCCTTGGAATTAGACAGAACTGACTCTTTGCCATCTTCATCTCTGGACTCATTGGCTTCAAATGTTTTGCTCCCAAGACCAGACAATGATGTACAATCTTGAGGAGATTGACCATCACATGTGACGTTAATGCCCAAATCTGAAGGAATTGAAGAATGTTTACTCTCTCCACAATCAGGCTTAACCTGGTCTGATTTAGAAAATTTACTTACAGAATCAACCAAATTAGCAAATTTGGGAGATAATGGATTGGATTGATCCATGTCATTAACACTAGAACCAGTCCAAAGCATGTCAGGCGAACTATCAGCAGAATGAGGCCTATTTGATCTCTCAGGCTCATTTGAACTAATGCTCTCACAGACAGAAGCATCATCAGATGATTCAACACTGGTAGGAGGAGTAGAGAATCCTGAAAATGGACTGCTGCAAGTTTCAGATGCATAATCAGTTCTTTCTCTATCTGAGTGGTATTCAACGTTAAGATCCTCTCTGTGTAAAATATCATTAGAGTTAGTAGCATCATTTAATGGAGGTTCTCCTAGATATATTTTGGTTGGTCTAGTATGATTCCTTCCATCAATCTCAGATCTGTCACCATGAATTCCATGCTGGTCTCCCTCAGCTAACTTCTCACAAGAATCACTTCCTTCGTCATTATTTAGGTGTGTGGAATAGGCAGGAGGATGGCATTCTTCCTTGTGACCCTGCCGCCAGTGGATAATCTGACACTTTGCAGAACTAGAACATGCAAACTATGATGTGAATACAGTATCATGAAAATATTTGTTTATTATAAAAATTGGAAAAGGGAGAAAAATAGTTTTGCCCATAATATGAAACATGGTAGTAACATACAACTTAATTTTCCATGTTTAAAGGCATGAAACCATAGATATTGCCAATTACCATCCCAACTTCACTCTGAACAAATGAATCATAACCAAGCAATGGGGTAAAAACCAGGAAAAAAAAATTCTAACTTATAAACAAGTTCAACATGACTAAATCTTATGAGTTACGATTACAAAAT